TAAATGGAACAAGTAATTTACCTTTAATTCTGATATTCTGTTAAATTCTCTTTAAACCAGTTGTTGTCAAAGAGATTGTATGTTAGTGGGAGTAGATATATCTTATGTAATATGACAAAACTGCTGAGTTTTGTTCAATGTTGCTCTACTTTATGTGACTAATGGGGATTGGGTATCTTGCATTCCAGAGTACCCTGCCTGTCTTGGAAAATCCCTTTTCAAAGAAAGTACGATCTATTATTGACATGCTTCAAATGCAGAGATCCCGCTACATGAAGGTAAAAATGTTGTCCTCCATTCGTAGCTTTAAATCCCCTTCCCTTTTAGCAGAGCAGGTGATGCCTGGCAATGCTGCAGTGCTGAACTTACGCTTCCTGATCTCATAAATATGATCCAAACATAGAGTTTACAAGGGTCTGGGGAAAAAAAACAAACAAACAAACAAAAAGAACAACAAAAAAAAAAACACAAAGCCAGTTAAAACAGTTACTAGTTTTGGAGTTCTGTGCTTTCCGTAGTTCTAAAGGTAATTTTTTTCAGACCTGTTATAGCATTGCACAAACCACATACATGGTGTCTTCTTTCTATTTGGAAAGGACTGAGACTATAACCCGGTTTAGTCATAGAAGTCAAAGCACATAAGCCATATACACTGTGTGATTCTGATTATCTGTCTTTGTATTTTTGAGCTACTTGGATTTTTGCTCTTGTTTATCAAGAACCTTAATTCTGCTAACTACTCACTGTTCCTTTTGTTCTTGGTTGTTTGGGTTTTTTTTGTAGTTAATAATTGTGAAGCAAGAAGATAAGCTGGAAATGCTGTTCAAACACTTTCTAGTGGAGGACAAGAGCCTGAGTGGGGGGGCTTCATATGTGGACTTCCTGTGTCACATGCATAAGGAGATTCGGCAACTACTGAGCTAGAGGAGGGAGTGGTGCTGGAACTCGGCAGTGACATTTCGGTCTCCACTAATGACCTGATCAGACGGTCCAGCGCCCTCAAAAAGGACAGCATAGAAATCTGTACAATTCCATAATTTTTAATACACATTGCATAAGCAGAAATCCTTTCAACCTCTCCCAGTCCCATATGAGAGATGACAAATTTTCTTGGTGAGGGCTAAAAAGAAGCAAAAGGCCTTTAATACCAGGTCTTTTACTTGCATCTAAATTGTTTCCTGTGCTTGGCAGGAGTTCACCCCCCTCCCCATGCTCGCTAACCCTGTCGTAATGAATGTAGGTTTTTTCAGTTCACTGTACATGATTCAACACTGGGTGAAAAAGCGATAACTCTTCAAAACTTCTGGTAGTTGCTGTGTGTTTGTATGGGCGTGTGTGCATGCTCCAAGTGTGGAGGGGATGCAGGTGGGGAGGATGAGAGGCAGGTCAGGTGATGGGAGCTGGAGCAGCCAAACATTTTGTGTCTCCTCTTAAGAGGGAAACATGAAGTTGCAGAGCACAGATATATCATGTGGCTGTCTGAACCAGAAAGCCATGAAAAAGGAAATGAGCAGTAACCCAGGAGGCAACAGGGCAAATTTCTTTCACAATCTTCCCCATACTATAAGTTGCTGTGCCGATCTGTAATGGAATAGTAGTTCAGTGAGCAACAATCAAAAGCTTCTGAGCAGTGTAGGGGTAGAGCTGGTGCTTCCTGTTGGCATGTGTGGTGTCTCCTTTCCTTCTCATTGCACGGCTCTGTAATGTTCTACTCAATCCATGTTCCATGGCCTCTCCTCCAGAGCTTACCTGTCTAATCAGATGGTGGTGGGAACAAAACCTCTTAACTGTAAGCAGAAAATGCTTTTAACAAGGTGATGTGGGGCTGTGTAGGAACTGGATGATAAGGAAGTGGCCATTTTCAACCATATTATTGTGAATCATAGCAAACAAGTAGGAATTTTATTTATACTGATGCAAATTTGAAACTGCTTTGTACCCTGGAATACAAGGAAGGAGATAAAACCCCCTGAGACTTAGACTGTACTGTAGTAGGTATTACAAGTACCTGATTACGGTTATTGAAAGCATCTGGGCCATAGTGAAGAGTTTCATTACCGGATGTTTGTACCCTCCCCCATTCTATCTACTGATCAGCTTGCACAAAACCTTTTTATAAGCCTGTTTGTTTACCTAAAATACCTCAGACAGATTAATCCATCCACTTAGGCCACTCTGCTTCTCCATCCTGCAAGGGTGGAAGAGAAGATCCTGCGATGAGGGAGTGGGTGTAAATCAAATTCAGAATTATAAGGGCTTTGTTTATTCATTTAGAAAGAGGGCTTGTATATTTTGGCTTGAACGCTTAACAAGCATTCTTACAATACCCAGGAGTTTAAGCTACAAATAGCACTAAAAGTGGAAGGAAGAATGTGAGTGGATTAGAGAACATACTATCTGGGGTTGCTATTTCAGAGAAAAGTCCTTGTTAAGGTGAGAAAAATACCTGCCTGTGGTTTTAGTTCCCTATCCTTGTAGCATGCATATGAATCCATTTTATTTCTAATGCTGCTAGTTTGTCTTCCCTCCCATCACTACACAGAAAGGGGAATATGAAACTTGTAATGGAGAAACTCTTTCAAGATGTAGTTGACAGAACCTTCAGCGTTTTTGTATGAATGTGGCTGACTTTTTACTCCACGTACTGCCTCCAACCAAAAAATCTAGAGGATTTTTAACCAGAGGGGGAAAAAGAACTTCCCAGGAATATAAGGCACAGCAACCACAGACTTCCACAAATACTAATTTCTAGTATTAATACTGGGGGGTGTGGGGGTGGAAATGAAATGATAAATGAACCTTTCATTTTCTTCACTTGTTTTTCCAATGCATCTTTTAATTTGTAAAGAAATAAAAATATATTAAGATGTATTTTATGTCATTGTTAGTAAATAAACACTGCTTATTTTTCCAAACCCTGTATTTTGCGGGAGGGAGGAAGTGGGAAGGGCTGAAGTCCAGCTGATGGATCCTTTACAGTTGATCGTCTGCTGACCAAGTTCAGGTTTTTTTGGTAAGAAGCTCAACAGTTGAGTCAGCAGACAAAAGGTGCTGCTTAATCTCAGTGTTATTTTGCTTAGATGTGACTGCGTTTTAACTTTTTTGTCCTTTCTGAGCTTTCATTTTGCAAAGAGATTTCCCTTTTCTCTAACACGGCTTGAGTTTCACTGGGGGCTTTTTGGTCTACTTTGGCAGGTATTCTTATGTGTTGGAGAACTGGAGCTCCTGTGTCAGACTTAAGATAGCAGGGAAGCTGGGTGGGGTTTGGGGTTTGGTTTGAGGTTTTTTTTTTTTGTGGGTTTGGTTTTTTTTTTGGTGTCTGTTTTTTGGGGGGGTGGCAGGTGCTAACTGCCAAAATAATGTTCTGAGTGAACTGGCGCTGTAACTTGACTGTAGCCTAGAACACTGCTGTTGTACAATTTGCTGATACCCTTACAACAATCTGTATGAAAGCACAAGACAATCGTTACTAAATCTCCAAAACTACATAGAATAGTCAGGGTTGGAAAGAACATTAAGATCATCAAGTTCCAACCCCCTGCCATGGGCAGGGACACCTCATACTAAACCATGCCACCCAAGGCTTCGTCCAGCCTGGCCTTGAACACCGCCAGGGATGGAGCATTCACAACCTCCCTGGGCAACATATTCCAGTGCCTCACTACCCTAACACGAAATAATATCTTCCTTATATCCAATCTAAACTTCCCCTGTTTAAGTTCTAATCTGTTACCCCTTGTCCTGTCACTACAGTCCCTAATGCACAGTCCATCCCCAGCATCCCTATAGCCCGCCTTCAGATACTGGAAGGCTGCTATGAGGTCTCCACGCAGCCTTCTCTTCTCCAGGCCGAACAGCTCCAACTTTCTCAGCCTGTCTTCATACAGGAGGTGCTCCAGCCCCCTGATCATCCTCGTGGCCCTCCTCTGGACTTGTTCCAAAAGTTCCATGTCCTACATAGTTTGTTGTAGCATGTGTGTAAGGTTTTCCTCCTACAAGGATATACATTATGTCCAGAATCTGCTACTGAGCTGATTTACTATGATAGTGGTCCTTATGCATCTTGTACGTTAATTATGTGGAGTAAATTGTAGGCATCTTTGTGGCAGCACCCCTTCCAAGGGATGTGGAAGTTGCCTTGCAGAGCCCATGCCTGTTAGCATTCTGTCGGGATGTAAGCGGAGGAGCTGGTGTGGATGGCATGGGGGTGGTGCCTGTGTGCTGACTGGGGTGTGCATCTGGATCATGGTTTAGCAATGAAAAGACCTAACTTTTTAAAAGAAAGCAAAAACGTTCCCATGTTTTAACCTGTTCCTTACACAGCTAGAGAATACTTTGCTTGTGTTCATACTGATGTCCTGTGTTATGAATTATCAGCCAAGTACTGTGCTTGGGCTTAAGTTACCTCTCAAGGAATGAATCTGAAGCTTTTAGCAATTCCATAACCGAGTGGTAATTCTGGTATGCTTCTGCTAGATTTTTATGGTGTATCCTAAACTCAGTTTTGCAGATTACCAATTTCCAGAATATTTTAATACCAAAGCAGTTTATTGAAGGTTGGCACAGAAGAGCAGCTTCAAGAGTGCATTAAACCTAGTGGTAGATAGATAAAAAATACCACTTGAAGGCATTCCCTCCCTCGGTATACTTTTCTTGCGCCATCGAAAGGCCAATTTTGTACTGAAGATGCCTCGTTACGGGTGGATTTGCTCTCGGCAGGCTCTGCCTCAGTGAAATCGCCCCGGTGTCTCCCTGTAGGTGCAGCCAGGTTCTGCTGCAGGCGCGTTAAAGGCACCTGGAAGTAAGACTATGCCCATCCTGCAGCGCCGACAGTCCTATGTAGCGTGTCGCACGCCCTACCTCCCGCCTTTAGCTTGCGCGGAGGGCAGAGCGTGCAACGTCGGCCCTGCCCCGTTCCTGAAGCCCCTCCTCGGCCTTGTCCAGGTTCTTGCGCCCCTTGCGGCAGCTGACGGAGCGCCTTCCGAGGCGGGGCTCTTGCAGCCGCTTCCTGTAGCGGGGCGAGCGGTGCCGGCCCGGGGCGGCGGCGATGGGTGGTGGCAGGTCAGGCCTCCGTCCGGGGTGGGGCCCCGCTTGCCTCTGGGTGACGCTTGCGTTGGCCTGGGGCGCGGGGGCCGCGCTCGCCGCAGAGGGGCCGGGGGCGGCGGCGGAGGAGGAGGCGGCGGCGGCTGTAGCGGCTGTGCCGTGCGGGGCGGAGGGGTGGGCGCAGGATGCTGTCCCGCCGGGCGCGGCCTTCGTGGCCGCCGCGTCCTACCGCGGCCCCGGCAACAACGACACGCGGAGCAACAAGGTGCTGCCCATCCTGCTGTGGTGGAGCGGGAGCCTCTTCCCACACTTCCCCGGCGACACGGAGCGCATCGACTGCCCGCGAGGCTCCTGCCTCGTCACCCGCAGCCGGCGGGTGGCCCGACACCGCCGCACCAAGGCCCTCATCTTCTACGGCACCGACTTCAGGGCCTACGAGGCGCCGCTGCCCCGCCTGCCCCACCAGACCTGGGCGCTCTTCCACGAGGAGTCCCCCATGAACAACTACGTCCTCTCGCACTCGCCGGGTATCCAGCTCTTCAACTACACAGCCACGTTCCGCCGGGAGTCGGACTATCCCCTGACGCTGCAGTGGCTGCCCGGCGTGGGGTACCTGCGGGGCCCGGCGGTGCCCCTGGCCGAGAAGGACGCGTGGCGGCAGAAGGGCTATGCCCCGGTGCTGTACATGCAGTCCCACTGCGATGTCCCCTCGGACCGGGACCGCTACGTGCGGGAGCTCATGAAGTACATCCAGGTAGGCGGGATGCACGGGGAAGCTGTGGTGTGGGGTTGCTGTAGGAGATGGGTCCGCCTGGCTGCCCCCCTCCCTCCCTCCTTCCACCTCCTCTTCTTAATGGGGTTTGTTTGTCTTTGCTTTTAGCCAAGGCACGAATCGTAACGGGGATGCATGCCGACTACAAGCCGGACAGAAAAACTAGTTGTATTCCTTCCCAAAGCGTGATCTAGACTACATCACATGCCAGTAGGTAGGCCTGATGGTAGTTGTTAGTTGTGGAGTTGGTCAGACTTGGGATCAGTCACAGGTTGGGCTAAGACTGAGTGGATTAGCGGACCAAGTGCCAGGAGTTACTGAAATCTCTGGACCTTTAAGTTAGCCTGCATGAAGGCTGGTTGTTTGCAAGCCTTGCTCCCTTTTGAAAGTACAGGTGTTCAGTAAAAAGATGTTTTGAGTATCTGCTGCTTGAGAAGTGGTGTAGGACCGTGCTGTTTCTGTGGTGGTCTGTATTGCACTGGCACAGCTAACAGAGTAGCTTCATAAACTGAGATAATGATTCTGTCAACCAAAAAAAAAAAAATTAATGCTTTCTTCTTCTTAAAAATTCTGAAGGACAGTATATTAGAAACACAAATGAAATCAGGTTTTAGTGTTTATCTAAAACATCTGTTTCCTTGCCATTTCTGCTGTTTCTATTGGTCGTGATTCATTCATTGTGCAAGTTTATCATGTACTCAGTAGTGAAGCAAAGACAAAAGAACGTTTAAAATACGACTGTATTGTCAAAGTTTGAGGCAGATTCCAGATCGAGTGTATGGGCTTTCAGTTTTAGACAGTATCCTTTTAGTTCCCTGCATCAATTTTCCTCCATCTGACAAATGAAACATTTTTGCCAGCCTGCTCAGACTGGCAGGAGCTGTGTGTAGTAACCGTTTGGAAAAGTGCTGCGTCTCTGTTAAGTAGATCACTTCTAAATTAACTCGGAGGGAGCTGAATGCCCATCCTTACCTCCAAGTTCCAGATGTAGCCACTAATAAATAAGTTTTTGGGTAACATCTTCCTTTCTGCACATTCCCCCTGCCCCTCAATCTGTAGCATCGTTTATGCTGCTTTTGAAACTGAGCCCTCAGTTTCTCCTAAAGTTGTTAGAACTGGGACTACAGGAATAGTCACAAGGGAAAGAACTTGGAGTGAAAGCAAAGCTAAACTAAAGAAGCTAGGAACTGATCAAAGTTAGGAATTTTACAAGAAATACAAGCTCTGACAACAAGCTCCAGGCAAACAAGTCACTTTGTAAAGATGCCTGTTGTTATTTTAGGTTGACTCCTATGGGAAATGCCTGCATAATCGTGAGCTCCCCAGTGAACGACTGAGAGACACTTCTACAGCAACCACAGAAGATTCTGAGTTTATGACTTTTATCGCCAGGTACAAGTTCCATCTGGCCTTGGAGAATGCCATATGTGATGACTACATGACAGAGAAGCTGTGGCGTCCAATGCACCTGGGGGCTGTCCCAGTCTACCGAGGCTCCCCAGCTGTGCGGGACTGGATGCCAAACAACCTCTCCATTATTCTGATAGATGACTTTGACAGCCCCCAAGAGCTGGCAAAGTATCTTGACTTCCTGGACAAGAATGGAGAGGAATATTTGAAGTATCTAGAGTATAAAAACCATGGTGGAATCAAAAACCAGTTCTTGCTAGAGAGCTTGGAGAGGCGGGAATGGGGGGTGAATGACATGACTCTGCCCAATTACCTGAATGGCTTTGAGTGTTTCATCTGTGACAGGGAGAACACCCGGGTCAAAGAGGAGCAGGAACACAGAAAGTCTCATGGGAAAATTCCAGCTCCCAGACCTCGCATAGCTCAGTTCAAGCACATGGGCTGTCCTATGCCCACCCCTGGGTTTGGAAACGTTGAAGACCTCTCTGGAGGAGACAGGTAATGTACCAAGACTGTGCCTTTTGAAGAAAAAAGAAGCTTCAAATAATAGTAGCCATAACTGTTAATAATACTTTGTACTTAAAGGATCTCTTAATACATCTCCAGTGACACTTTATATTATATCTTGTGGGTAGTGTGGTAGTTCTGCTAATTTTGTGTATGAAGCTGGCTTAGCTGGTAGTATTTGTTAGCTGTTGAATGAGGAGCGTGAGACACCCATAATACTCTGTTAAAATGCTCTGTGGCCTTGGGTAGTGTGTTTATCCTTTGTCTGTTGTTTTTTTTTTGCTGCTTTGTTTGAAAGAAGGATGTTTTTCAGTACAATGATGGTAAAGCACTTGATAGCCCTTGGGTGCAAGAAGCTCTGTGCCTCCTTACAAAGTACTGCATTAAGAATGGGGTTGGCACTGTTGAGTGCAGGCTCTTGACTTCAGAGCAGAAGTTAGGCTTACCCAGAATACTTTACAAAACTTTTTGTTGATTTCTGTGACAAAATTCTGGCTTGTGTTTGAAGGACACCATCCCATTTATTTAGGAGAGGGACCACACAGGACAGAGAGTAAGTAGCTTCTTAGCCCCTTTGCGCATGGGGATTGCTGGTGTTGTTCAAATCTCCCAGGCCCATAGCCCCATGTTAGCCATCTCTAGTGTGAGCTGCACAGAAGTCTGTCAGCAGGGAATTACCCACACTAACCCTCAGGCAACCACTTCTGACAGGCAGAATAGAGGTGTGTTTGCATGGTCTACTTAGTATTTATACATGCCTTGGCCCAAAACACGTCAGTGTTTGGGTTCCCAAACCTTGAGTTTTTCGACTAACAGTGTTTGCTTGAAGTTGCAGTTGCTAGAAGGAAGGGTTCTTGCAGTTCATGAACAATGTGTGTGCCTTTTGTAGTGTATTCTAGTGTAACATGTTTGGATCCCTCAGGTTTGTCATTTTTCTTTGCATTACTTGCAACAATTTCTGTCTTTTTAGGCATTTACTCAAGTGCATACAATTCACTTTCTGAAAGCCATCAGACAGCCTTTATAAATATAAACCCTCAGCCACAGCAGATCTTGCCTGTGTTCATAGGTATCACCAAAGATTTCAATGTTCTGATGTCAGTCCCACTGTAGTACTAAATTAATGACTTTTTGAAAATACTGGTAAGATCTCATGCAGAAGGAGGCTGTCAGTATGCTCTCAGTTTATATCAGTTTACAGCCTTGTTAATGATTTCCTGGACTAAGGAATTGAATGCTTAGGAGTGTTAAAGTGTTAGAAGGAACAGTGTGTTGAAAATGAATCCATCATTTCAAGTATGCTAACCCAGAACTAAGAAAGTTTTTATTACGTTATCCATCCACAAAAAAGAATATGAAGAATTTTCTAAGTGTGGGGACCTACTTTGTTGTATGTTTGAATGCTTTCATAAATGGCCAACTGAAACCTTTTCTCAGTCTTCGTAACAAAATGTGGTTTTAGCTTGTAACATTATTCAGTGTCCCACTCTGTAAGCGTTCTCTACTTTTTCATGGCTGGCCTTTTGCTGGAGCAGCAGATGGCAGTAGAGAAGTACTTTTGAAGGCACCGCATGGGTGCCTATGCCACTTACAAGCTCTGGTACTCCCATCATTCTGTGCATTGGTTGTCAGCAAGGAGTTTTGAACAGTTACTCCATAATCCAAGCCATCGTTGCATCACACGGAAGTTTCCATATCTTACTGAACCACACTATGTTACTTTTCCCCTGTTCGTAGACATACGATGAGTCTGGAGAAATTGTACCAGGGAAGCTTTTACATTGCCTGCTGTCTACTTTAGAAAGGTACCTTGATATAACACAAATGAGAGAAGTAGTCCACATGATCACAAATTGGAATTGTTGGAAGTTGCAGTGATGCAGTCTGTGCTATGAAGTTTGAGAATGTCTGCATTGAAAAAGAGCCTATACTCAACCATCTAGTTTGGAGATACAGAGTTAGGGTGGAAGGATATAATCATTTTTTGTCTCTGCCGTGTATAACCAGAGTTTGCAATGAGTAGCTGTCAGTAGCTGACATTCCCTAATTGTTAAATGGTTTCTTGTTGAGGGGGGAGGAAGAGAAGAAAAGAAAAACTTGATTCTTAGGCTGTTATATGCATACTGTCCATGGAAGGCAACTCTCAAAATCATGTAAGGACTCTGTGCTAGATTTTATGTTAATAGAAGGTTTTATTCTCCACAATTAATAATTGAGTGTCTTTGGTTAACTCTGTAGTCACATGCTGATATTTCTAGAATGTTGTAAAGCTAATGATGATCTTGCATTTTCTGTAGAGAATTTTCACAGCGGGTTTCTTTAAATGACTTGCAGTGCAATGGCACAGTAACAGAATACTTCGTTATGACCATCTCTGGGCTTGTTTTCCTCTTAGGTGAAAGAAAAAAAATGTCTTCAGCGCTGCTTCAGCTGCAGAGTAATCTGAGGGGTTTTAGTGGTTTATGGTTGTGTCTCTTTTTTTGTTTCAGTTGGAAAGAGATGTGGCTGCAGGATTATTGGCAAAGCCTTGATCAGGGTGAGGCCCTCACTGCTATGATTCATCGCAATGAGACGCATCAGGGAAGATTTTGGGACTATATGCATGAGATTTTTCTCAAGAGGACAAGGCAGCACTGACCCATCTTTGTAAGAGATTGATTTGAAAATTGCAGTGGAAGTTGAGGTTGTAAATTCTTACCTCACTCCAAATGTTTGCCTTGAAATAGAAGAAAAACTCTCACAGAGACTGTTTTTTTCTGGTTCATGAAGTAAGTTTCTGTTATGATTGGATTTCAGCAGTGGAGATCTTAGCAACAACTTTGATTTGAATTTCAGCTCTGTGGCATGAAGCCACTCCTGAATTGCAGGTGTCAACGTGTGGGGCAAAAGAGGAATTTACTCTCCTTTTGTATTTGTATCGTCCTTGTGGCTTACATGACCCCGGAGGAGCACCTCTTCAAACTCTTGCTAAAATGTCCAAAGTTATTTCAGGGATTTTTTTTAATGTCCAAAATATTAAGCATTTTTTATAAGTATTTTATCAGTCACTTTTTCTCTTCATGAAGGTGTACTTCTAGCTGCTATTAACAAATAGTTTTTTCAGTGAAGGACTTGCGAAAGACAAATGTCTGTGGAGAGCAATTGTGCCTTACGAAATTGCAGCAATAAAGTCTCTTCTTTCCAAGTAAATGTGCCTCAAATACTCCTGCTTTTTAGGGTAACTGTATACCTATGGGCAGGTCACTTTACTCTCTGCCTGATTTTTGTCTTAAAAACTTACCAGGTGACACATACAATGGGGTGAGAGATTACATTATTTAATTTACAACGTTTAACAATGTATTTCACACGAGGACATGTATTACCTGGTATTGTGACTTCTTATTTATTATCTCCTTAATGCTAGCCTTTGATCTGTCCTTTCTGAGTATCTGCAGCTTTGTGCAAGGACAAATACATTTCAACAATGGTGCCTTTCCAGTGGTCTCTGCAGTTTGGATGCAAACTTTGCGGTCCTTCTGTGCTGAAACAGATGACCAGAATCAGGTGCACTGAGATGTTTTTCTGTCTTTACCAAATCTTAACACAGTATGATCCTGGTCTCTTGACTAGCGTTCCTTAGTCTAAGTGATGATATGTGAATACATCTTCCTTGTTGTGTAGCCTGTATCTCTTAGAGATGTAAGCCTGCTGTCCCCTGCCATGTTGGGTACCCTTCTGACACAATTGATTTTTGCATTGGAGACCAATTCACAGTGTCATGGGTTTAAAAAGCACAGGCAAATAGGGCCACACTGCAGTCATGTCTGTAATGGTGTAATTGTATTTTGTTTCTCCATTTCTCCTCCCTCTTCAGAAGTAACTACTGATTAAATAGTCACAGTTTATCCATGCCTAAGACAGAATGTTGGTACGGCAAACCTAGAGCCTGTGGGGTAGTTTCATTTTGTAGGGCAGCTCACACATGGCTATGGGAAGTCTGAAGCTTGTTAGTGAAAATTAGGAACGGGACCAAATCTACATTCTGTCCCTGATTAAGTCACTATTGCTTAGCTGTGGATAGATCACTTAATCTCTTTTTTTTTTTTTCATCCCTCAAATTCCCAGTGATAATGTTGTAGATACAATATTTTAGGTGTTACACCCATATAGGTAATAATATGCATCTCAGTGTTTGTCTTTCAGGTAATAACAGTACTGTCATGTTAGAGCATCTTGACAGAGGAGACTTCAGACCCATAGCTGTCACTGTATTATTGTAAATGTAGAAAATGCATATGCTATACAATCTCATCCAGTGTTTCATTAGGAGAAAAATGTTTTTTTAATCTCCCTTCTGTAATAATAGTAACAAATTGTTCTTCAGCTAAAATGCATTCATCAGTTTAAATTCCTTTTTTCTTTATTCCATTTACCCAGGAGACATGAATACTGAAGGGAATGTATCTGAATCAATTGTTAAAGTGGATTACTCAAATCTGGTTAAGATTTCAGGTATGTGTATTCAGGATGGAAGTGGCCACAATGTGCTTGAGAAGTAAATTAAGATAAAACAAATTAAGGCTACTTTAGTAGTGAATGTCCACTTCTACTGAGCAGTTTAATTATATTTAAATAAATGGCTTGAATTAATGCCTCCAGTTACTTCAGATTCTCTTTATTCATTTTATGATCTTAGTTGTGTTTTAGTTGTCTTTCTGCTAATCCAAGTGAATATGTGAATGCAGACAAGGAGAAAGGTCACTGCAGCAACTAGTAATATTTTGGAAAAAGGCTAAAGATTTCTGATCTGGACTGCTAATTTGATTTCTCACTTCACTGCTTGAAATCCAAACCAGCTAGGTGGTGGCTGAATGTTGTCACTTATGTCATGACTACCTTCCAGATTACATGATACTCGGAATGAACAGTGTATACAATATCCTCCTTAATTAAATTCTTACAGTGCAGGTGCCCATACTCATAAAAACACACAACTGCGACTAATCCTGAATTTTAGCAAAGATGCCAAATACTGCGGATGATAACAAGATCATCTCTATAAACCTTCTAGGTAGGCTTCTACTAACTGGGGTGAGTCACTTCGCTGCTTGTCTTTCATTTTGCCTGTTTACTGTATGAGGGAGGCTTTCAAAGCTGTCAGGATAGCTTTATTCACTGGCATTAATGTTCTAAAAATAGGTATCTCCTTACTACTGCTCATATGAAGCACTAGTAGATTCTACTGATACTGTGTCTCAGAATTGTCTTGACCACCTAAGTTTATGCCTTCCGAGATGTGAGAGAGGAGAAACAAATGGCTGACAAAAGGTTAAAAATCTAGCAATCCAGTTCATTACATTGGACAAGCTGAAGTTCTCATTCTCCTGATGAAACTGTGATACCAGGTGCTGCCTAATTTTCAGTAAGAAGCTGGGTATTTTATATACTGAATTAATTCTTTGTGTTTTCTGCCCTTTAGCAAGGACTGCAATTTTTAGGAAGCGCGTAACCTCACTGAAGAATATTGATTTGATACCTAACATTGATAATTTCTAGAACTGAAAAATAATTGCCTTTCCTTATTTCTGTCACTGTAGTAATTTTCAGACTGAAGGATCTCTGGGTACTCTATGATGGTAAGTAGAATGAAAGCCAACCAACAGTGGATGTGTGTGTGTTTAGAGGGAAAAGGAGAATGAGCTTCTTTCCCTGGAAATGGCCTGAAAAGTGCAGCAGCTGGAAAATCACAGCAGAAATGCCCATCTTGCACCTTGGCAAAGGGTAGTTTTAACTGGTGTGGAAGAACAAGTAACTCCTAAAGGACTGGGAACAGGATAAATTGAATTGAAGCACAGCCAACCAGGGACATCGCTGTTTAGACAGGCTTTGCCATGCTAGACAAGCAGCCATCTGCCTCCCTTACCATCCTTTCATATGTACTCTTCAGCCATTGTCCCAAGAGAGCACTCCCTTAATGATTCATTGTCATCAATTTAGTTGGATTTAATTAAGATTGTTGATGGCTCTCCAGGTGCTTTCTGAGAAGTTGTATTAATGGGAAATATACAGGGTGGCAGGTTCCTTCATTCTGCCCGGAGACCTCTACTGACAGGCTAAAATTAATCAGAGACAAAATCCTTTTAGTGATATGACCAGCTGAGCCAAAGCCTATGTCAGGCTTTAACAATCTCATGATTCAGTATCTTGGAGCTGGCACTGAGAGATATATGACCCTGCAGGGGGACTAGGGAGGGTGGAGAAGAATGGAGCTGCAGGATTTGTTCCAGAGCTCTGACATGACTGGCATCTTAATTTGTATGCTGTTACGTACATTCTTTCTTGCAGAAAAGCCCCATCTAATGCTGAAGTGTCTCAGCTAGAGATGATTCTGGGGATTTGGGAATGGATCAGAGCAGATCGTGATACTTTGTGGCATCTCTGAGCAAATAAGGAGGCTCCAGGTAATTTGCAGTGGAACTGGGCTGGATTTGAGTAGATCTGGGAGTTAGGGATTAGGGATGGCAGCTCAGAGCTAGTCAGGTGGACAGAATAATGCAGGGTGGCTGATCTGATTGAGATAGCTGAGGATAAGGTAAGCTAGTGTTGGGGCTTGGGGCTGACATCAGAAGAGCAATTGCAGCTGTCACTGTGCTATGAATATAAATGAATGCGTTTGTGCTAATAAGTGCATGAAGTGCTAATACTGTTCAAACACAATTGCTCAGCAGACAGGAGTAAGTCTGAAACCTCTTAAAGAGGTATTTCAAGCAACAGTCTCATTTTAATTGTGTATTTTATTACAGCATTGTTAGCATTGTATTTAATTGTGTCGTAACATCATAATTGGCCCTTATACCAGTTGTAATACAGGTTCTTTTCAAACCTAATACTAATAGTTTATCTCTGTGGTTCATTTTGGTTTTGACTAGCTGAAACACAGGCTACAATTCAGCTTTAAGTATGCTGATGCAAGTAAAGAAGTTCTAAATACAGTTAGAATTTTACATGGTTTTTGTAGTTGTGCATTCAAGATTCCCAATGAAACATCTGTGGGGTTCACTGCTCTGTGTGTTGAGGGACCTGGGTTCCCGACTGTACCTGTAAAGTCAGCACTTCTGTCTCATCCATTAGTGTCTCTGTGCTATCAGCTATATAAAATGCAGGTTAATGGAGAGACCCGGATATACAGTAATACACCTCTTCTGTAGTTCCACGTTCTGCATGGTGTGTGCAGACACCATTACATACCTTATTCTGTCTGCTTGGGAATATTTTAGGCTGGTGCTCCAATCCCAGGCTCAATGCCAAAGAGTTTCTAATGCAGACAGCAGTAACGGACAGGAAGCTACCAGAATTCTCCTTGCGTTGCTTGCCTTTCTCAGCTGCCCCTCCTCTTCCCCCTTCTTTCTTGGAATTACTTAAAAGAGACATCAGCTTTTGAAGGTGAATGTGCCTGAAGGTGTTGCTGCCATTAGCTAATGTAATTTGGAAAAAGGGAGGTTGATTTACGGGGAGTACAGTTCAGTTTCTTTTACGTTCCAGTATTTTCACCTTTCCTAGCTATTGTTCTTGGACTTTTAAGAGAATTCCATTTTAAAAATAACACAAAAATAATTCTAGAATCAGACATACCAGCATATATTGTCTGCAGATGCAGTAAGTTCTAGTAACGATACTGAGAATATTGTGCTGATGTTTAGCTCAATGTAAGGGAACTTCCGATGTATTGTTACCTTCCTTGACTAGGCAGAGGCAAGGGGAGTGCCTTGGGGTTTATGTCTCTATCTAGGAAGTTGTGAATATATTTTCATCCAAAGCAATGTCCTGTGCAGAAAAATTTGTTCCCAGCATCTTTGTTTTGGCCAGCTGTACATGGTTAGAGGCCAAACTTGTAACTATTTCTGTGGAAGAAAACTGGTACTTTGCATGCCCTCCAGTGCTCAGGGGAAACTGTTGGTGCCTGAAGGAGCCCCAGTATGGTGGTAAGATGATTTGTTCAGTGACTGCTACATGACAAGTGTCAGAGTATTTTAGGGCCTCAGTGTCCAATGTCTAATTCCTCAGTTACCTACATCTTGCCTTGTCCTTCATCCTGTGCAGTAATCTGTGCCCCAGCCCTTGAAATGTTACCATGCCTTTTGTATTATCTACCTCCATAAACTTGGGGACGTATCAGCTCCAGAGCCAGCCAGGAGAGTTGAGGACTTCCAGAGATTTAAATCTTACAGATGGAAAGAAACTTCCAGGAATGAGAGGATTCTTCAGTACTAAGTACGAGGCTGTGAGAACACCATTACCATTTCAGAAGCAGCAGTTTCAGTATCTCGTTGTTAGATAGCAGGAATAATGCAGGGGAGATCCAGCTGTTGGTATGTAATGGAGATGAACAGCTGAGGGGGAAGAGATGCTGAATTTCAAGCACCAAAAAAAGTTGTCAGAGTAGCAAAATAATTCTAGGTTGCATTTGAATTACTTGCAGCAATCACAACTTATTTTGCTGTGTTTGAGAGGCATGCCTGCTCCTTCATTTGGTTGGGTTTGATGCAGAAACGGTTTGGGGGTGTAACCGTGAAAGTCACTCGGAGAAACTGTCTCAGTTTGGAGTTTTAGAAAGCAGCACTCTTTGTTGCAGCGCTGGGCGCAAAGGTGAGCGCTCCCGTTACCTGCCGACAGCGGCCGTATGGTTAGCATATCATGCATATTCATAGTTTTCTCATGAACTAATTATAATATGTGCATTCTCATTACGCATGCGATGGCCAGGAAGGACGGGATTGCACCACAACCGGACCGATGCGACCGCGTTTCCCGCCGGGGACGTCCGCCCCGCAAGGCGGCGCCACGGCGCGGGGAGTGCGTCGCGTCGCGTGGCGCCGCGCATGCGCTGGGCCCGTGGCAGGAAGCATGGCGGCCCCCGTGTACCCGGCCTGGGTCACCCGCTGGGTCTCCGGGCAGTGGCGGCAGAAGAAGCGGCCCCCGGTGCTCCGCCCGACCCGGCCGCTGGTGCTGGCCGACAAGGTGGCAAACCGCAAGGAGAAGGCGGGAGGTGAGTTCCCGGCGCCAGGCTCCTAAATGTCCCCTTCCCGGAGAGAAGCGGCCGGGCTTCCAGCCCCTGTGGGGATGAGCTGCTGCCGGTGTACCCGCGGTGTCCCCGGGAGCTGTCCCGCCGCTCTCCCGTGCCTTTACCCAGGGAAGGACCGCCGTGGTGTCGGGATGAGTCGAGCTAAGTGCTTTGTGCTTTGCAGCAGAGGGGAAGGTCTGATTTGTGCCATGGCATTAAAGATTGCTTTCTCACACAGCAGCCCCACGTTTGCATCTTGTGGTGCCCTTTGTGTGAATCACACGTAAAATACTTTGTTACATCTCAGCATAGCATTTCCTTTAAGAATTCAATCAGATGTTAGATGACTGCAATGCTACTACTCATCTTCGTGCTCTCAACATCTTTACACAACGCATCTTTGCTTTAGTGTTGTTTTTCCTTACCTGCCTCTATGCTGTCTTAAACTTCTCTCTGGAAATCCAAGGCCCGTGGAGGCGTTTTGCATGGAATCCCAAAGACTTGAGATTTTGGGTTGTGTGTTTCACTTCCAGAAGCAACATGCATTACGGAGATGTCGGTAATGATGGCCTGCTGGAAAAAGAATGACTTCAATGACACAGCCTGTGCCGAGGAGATCCGGATGTTCTATGACTGCGTGGCAAAGGCAGAAGTAATTAAGGCCTCTTTTGTGTTCTTAAAGGCTATTAGTAGAGTAGGAGGAAGCCCCCAATCATGCCAACAGTAATAATGTTCTCCAAAGAATTTGATTTGTGTTGTAGGAGAGATACAGAATGATGTAGCTCAAACATGCAGCCCTTCCTTTTTTGAATGCAGAAGTTAAATTAAATTTGAACAGAATAAGGACCTTAGGAAGGGACTAGGTCTTTGGTATATTATAACTGAGGGTGAAGCAATAGTAGCATCCAGTCCTTTTTGTGTTGTCAAATTCTTGGAAGTTGAGATTAGTTGCTGTTAGTTGACCCTAACCTGGGCTATTTCTTTTGATTTCTTGTGGCTTTTAATCTCTAAAGAGACCTCACTTGGAGTATTGTGTAGTTCTGGTGTCCTCAATATAAAACAAGTCCAGAGGAGAGCCACGAGAATGATCAGGGGGCTGGAGCACCTCCCATATGAAGATAAGCTGAGAAAGTTGGGGCTGTTCAGCCTGGAGAAGAGAAGGCTGCATGGAGACCTTATAGCAGCCTTCCAGTATCTGAAGGGGGCTTATAAGGATGCTGGGGAGGGACTCTTCATTAGGGATTGTAGTGATAGGACAAGGGGTAATGGGTTAAAATTTAAACAGGGGAAGTTTAGATTGGATATAAGGAAAAAGTTCTTTACTGTGAGGGTGGTGAGGCACTGGAATGGGTTGCCCAGGGAAGCTGTGAGTGCTCCATCCCTGGCAGTGTTCAAGGCCAGGTTGGACGAAGCCTTGGGTGACATGGTTTAGTGTGAGGTGTCCCTGCCCATGGCAGGGGGTTGGAACTAGATGATCTTAAGGTCCTTTCCAACCCTGACTATTCTATGATTCAGCATTAAGGAAACAATAGCAGTCACTGCACTTCTCCATAGTACATGATAGTTCTGAATAAGGGAGAATACAACTTGGAGCTGTTAAGTAGAACAGTGATTTGTACGGTGAGGGATGTGGATTATACTGTAATTTGGGAGATGTATAGCGTAAGTTCACAATTGCTCGGATTCATAAAGAAATAGCTGACTCTGGTACCAATCCAGTACCTGCATTATCTGACAATCGGAGAAAGTGAGTTAGGTAAGTTAGGATTCCCAGACTCCAGTTTGTCATAAATATTTAAATAATGCAGGGAGGTAGGTTGGAGACAAGGTGGTAGAGAAATAACCAGTGGTTTCAGTAATCCTCATGACAAATGGAATTTTCAGGGTGCATGAGGCAGTTACAGCTATTCTTGATTCTCTGAAAATGAAGAGTTCTTTTAGGCTGTTTCTGATTATGAAGGCTAGATATTTTCTTGAAAAATAGATAGATTTCACATTCTTTGGAAGTTAGAGGTTTCCAGCTATATGGCAAACTTGGTATCAGGTCAGTTTCAAAAGCAGACTAAAGGTAAGTATATGTACTGAACTTGTCCTTAAAGTGGTTTCAGGTTTCAATTATTTTTATTTTTTTTTTCAGTAACAGTACCATCATTTAATAGGTCTTTACTGTTGCTGTTTGACAGCATAAAGGAAAAGCTGTCTACAGTTTATTTGGTAGATAGAATCAAATTGAGTAACAGTGAAAAAAAAAAAATCTGAGTTGTTACTGAGTTTATAATATCATTAACTGAGTATACAGAGGAATATCTCAGAATCACAGAATGGTTTGTTGGAAGGGACCTTAAAGGTCATATAGTTCTAACCCCCCTGCCACAGACAGGTACACCTTCCACTAGACCAGGTTGCTCAAAACTCCATCCAACCTGGCCTTGGACACTGCCAAGGATGGGGCAGCCACAACTTCCCTGGGCAAATACCATCCTTACAAGATGTCAGTCATTAATTACATCATTGAAAGGTCATCAGGCTTTTGAAAGCCTCATGATTATTGAGTCAAGTCTTGTTGTAAATGTTCCTTGAAGAAATAGCATTCCTCTGAATGAAACATCCCAGTACGATCAGTATTAGTCTTTGAGGGTGAGCATCAACTCTGCAAATAAGAAGAAGTAATATTTTGAGCTTTTTTTCTGTCTTTCAGAAGGAGCGTAAGAATCTAAACGAGGACACCTTCTCACTCCAGGGAAACATGCCTTCAAGCAAAGTAAACAAGCTCCTGAGGAGGTTTCCTCAGATCACACGTTATGTATAATGTGCTTTGCTAAAGGAACTGCAGACAAGCAATTGCAATTGGAGACTTTGGTGAAAAGTAGACTGGATGTCAGGCAGTATCTTTCAGCACTGAGATGTGGTTCTTGACCTCGCTTTTGTTTTTAGAGTAAAAAACACATGTCCTGACCATCAGCTGACTTTGTTCATGAGGTTTTTGGGTCTTGCTGTCTTACGATTTCTGCAGGATGTTGTTAAACTAGTCAAGTGTGGAATCAGGTCCTCACTGTGAAATTAAATCTTCTAGGAATACATGCAGATGCCTTTTCTAACAGTTAGGGAGTTACTTTTTCTCATGCACAAGCTTCCTGCCTAACTGCTGAACTGCTGTCAAAAAGTGCTCAGGCCCAGACATTAAGTCAACTTGAACTTGATAGTCATCTCATGACTTGTACTCCTATGTGTATGTATACACAGTTTGGTTCCTCTTGAGATGTTTTTAATTCCTGTTGCTGTACAAGAAGGCTGTAGAATGAGGAAGAACTCCCCATCAAAATACCTTGTTAATACACAATACATTGGTAAGGATTATATGTAACTTTTTTAACACAGGGGCTTGTGATTTAGGCCCTCTGATTTACAGGTGGGACAGGTATGGTGCCATGTCAGATCAATTACATCTGTACCATAATAAAAGAATGAAAAACTGTCTTTTGGCCTGGGCAGCTCATAATCTAGAACAAAATGTCCCATTGGGTGAAAAAAACTAAAAGGGGGGAGACAATTCATGCACAGACTGATACTGAAACAATGTAATCACTAGTTTTCAGTGGTTTGGGGGTGGGGTGGTTGTTGTTTGTTTGTTCACTAGAGTACCACAAAACAGCAGGCAGGTCCCTGTTGTTTTAGTACCAGTACCTAATCGGTAAGAAAAATGCAGTACCTCAGAGATATAACCATTTATATCAGTAGTTCTCTGGGGTATAAATTAAAAGCAAAGAGGGAAGTCTGGCACACACAGACTCTGTGATCACCAGCATGTGACTGTCGGGTTTGCGTGGAGATGGATCTGACTTCTCTGGAGGCCCAGGCCAGTACTTCTTCATAACATAAATACTGGGCAAGAGTATGCTTTATGGTTATTGAAGCAGTTTTCATTTATTTGTTACTTACAATGGCTCATTAGTGGATTATCCCATAGGGTACCTTATTCTGTTGTTGCTATTATGTCAATAACAGAATAAGATCTTTCAGAGGACTTGGGGTGAGTAAGAACATGATGTCCACATCTGTGTTTGGGATAACACTTTGGTTCTATGACATTTTGCATTTTCAGTCCAAAAGACGGTCTCTGAAAAGATCTACTTTGCTGATTCTTTGAAGAAGACAAGCTAAGCTGGGAGAGTGAGAAATCAATTTCTAAATTCACTTCTGTTGATGATGGTTTTCCTTTCTTTGTGTTAAAACTTAACAATGCAAGTACAGTTTGGCACCTCTTAAGCTAGTGGCTGTGCTGAATACCAAACTCCAGTGTCTGTGAAGAACTATCTCATTGTGTAAGACGCTGTAACAGTGAAACTAATTCTTTCTTGTTGTTTCTACTTTTGAAATTTTGTGTGACTCCCACTAATCTGGACAGCTATTTTTAGGTTTTTCTGATTCACAGTGAGCCTCACAAGCTCAGTTGTTTGGGGTTTTTTCTGACCTTTTACATGCCTACTATAAGCTTGAAATTACTATGCTAAGGCTTTCCACTCCTTTAAGGAATGCATTTATTTGGAGGAAGAAGGAAGGAAAGAAAATGCTTTTCAGATGCACACAGCTTTTACACTGCTTCTTTTTAAAAGTACTCTAGCAGTTCTTTTGGCTCAGGATCCCATGCTATAACCAAGAAAACAGCTACTGATTGTCCTTGGCAATTTGAGATGCTGCTGTTTCCCCCATCTCACTGTTAAGCTTGCATTGCGTATTCATATGGATTCTGTCACACACCGATATTGGGGATCATTCCATTAATAGCTGATGTGTGTGACTGCAGCCAACTGGCCCTGTCCTCTCTGAGTTCAGGGCTTGTACCACCCCATGTTGTTGCTGGAGAATAAAAGAAAACCGGGTTCTGATGCTGAGCCCACTGGTTAAGAACATTGCTGCAGAGACCTGTATGTGGCTGCATGGTGGGGAAAGAATTAAAAGCTGACTAGCTGTTCTACCCTCCTAAGTCGGATTTGCAGGATTTAAGAAAATCTGCTGGAATTCCTTGATCTTATTTCTGTTCCTTATAGCTTGAGTACTATACCAGCTCTGGGTATGATTGCTGTTGACTACCTCTCTTTTTAGGCTTTCACTGAAGAACTCTTATGGAGGAAGCACTGATATTTCAGTTGGTCTTGACAAATAGTAGTCCTGCCAGTTCAGGAGAAATAGGTTGAGTTCCAGAGAGCTAGAACATTTTAGAAGGTGGTACTTCAGGAGGGTCCATACAGAATAATCTGAAAAAATCTAGATGGAAAGAGTCTTTAGGTAATCATAAACCATTATAGACCTGTGTTTATAGCAGGGCGAGAAGGTTATTTGTGGGTTATATGAACTTGAGTATTTACAACTACTTCAGACTTGCCCACACAAGATAGTTCAAGATCTGGTTTACCTTATCTTTAGATATGTTACCTATCTGAACTGCTGTAGTTATATTGGTATCGTTTCCTCCTTGGTCTTCCTTTCCATCTTGGATATGGCCACATACCTGTGAGAAGCTTTTGAGAATCAGATCCACCTCTCTCAAGAAAATGTCACTGCCAGAAAACCAGGAGGGAATCTTGGCAAGAAGAAAATAGTTCCAAAAGAGGACCTGCCACAGAAGAGCAAACTTCCAACACCCACTGTGTATCTTTGCACAGGTTGTCATTTCTACAGAAACTGAATACCAGACTCAAACTTCTGTGGCTTTTGATGTGTGCCAGTCTGTGTTTCCTTTAAAATCACTTCACCTAGGAAATAACCTTATCTAGTGATTCAGGTTGCCTTGAAAGGGAAGTAACTTCCAAGCTACTGTGAAAGAAATCCAGTACAGGCTTTTGCTAGAGGTTTTAAACCCTCTTAGCATGTATCAGAGGGCTAAATAGGTGAGCGTCTTACAGGAGTTCTGAAGGAGCATCAGCAGCCTCTCTGCTCCTGACTAAGGAGCAGATTTCTCAGAATCTTAGTAGATATTTCTGTTCCTGCCTCCTAGTATATCCTTTCCTTGTGTTTTCACTGGAGTAAGTGGTTCTAAATTCCAACACATTCCTGTATTTTTGTTTTACTCCTTTTTTTGCCAGTGCTGCCTGAGAGCATCAGCATGCTGCAGCATCTAAGCTATTTCCATTCTCTGTTGCCCTGATCAACTGCCTCCCTCACTACGAGGATATAGGAGATTTGCTCCTAATTAACTGAGTGCAGTTCTTGGCCAAATCCACTGGGTCCAGAATGCACTGTGGTACAAATCCACTCCAGAAAGGGCTCCCTCCTATCACTCAGCAACTACTGTAAGAGATCCAGCATGGAGTGGAATTTCTTTGCCTTTGATGAGCATCTGAGGATGAGGCAACTCAAAACTGTCATCTGAAGTGAGTAATGAGCAATAAGTGAGGGAATTAGAAAAGAGGCTTCTTGTGATGCCAATAGATTTCTATCAGCCTGTTCCTTGTTTTTATGCTGAACGTGTGTTTGGAAACGCTGCTCAGCAGACTTGGCCAGGAGTGAGCTCATTTCTTGAGGTGACCTTGTTTCATGTTGCAGAACACCAGGAGTTAATCCTTCCGAAATCAGAGTATAAATAGGTAATTCCCGTTAAACTGAGCTGAGGAGCTGCAGGGGGAACTTGTTAAAAAAGACTCAAGATTGAACAGCTTTAAATGTACCTTCCTTAGATTTAATAATGTTTGAAACTTCCGTTATTACACTCTAACCCTAATTCACATGGAGGAGCAGTAAGCTTAAAACACTAAAAAATCCCATAGGATTGTTTGTAACAATACAGTAATGATCAACCCTCTGGAAAGCATCCCAGCCAGTCAAGTGAAAATAACTTTACAGCCCAAGGTCAAGGAGACACTTGAAAAAGACCTAGGGAAGCGATGGTAGGATGCAGGGCTGAAAACTGGGAATGCGCCACGGGGGGCTGTGCCGCCTGTGAGTTTTGCATGGGGAGAGCTGGAAGCTGCTTCAGGTAAAGTTTTCCGGGTCCCGTTTACCTGGGTCAAACCAGAGGAGAGTTTGACCTGGGGAAGCTGCAGGGAGCTAATCGAGGAGGCAGCGGTGGGGGGATAAAGTCCAGATTCCTTCCAGCAAGTCTAATCTCTGGCAAGTGTGCGCGCACAAGCAGCTTCCTTCTCCAGCTCGGCTGTCGGCGGTTCTGCAGGAGGACACAGCCCTGCGTCCCCGCAGTCTCCGTGCCTCGGGAGGGAAGGGAGAGGAGCGCGGCCGGCCCGGGAGGCGGGGGCTGGCAGCGGGGAGAAGCGCAGACCTGGAGAGGGAGGGGAGAGCGGGCTGAGGGCTGCGCCCCACCCGCCAGCGCTTGCCTCCTCCTGGATTTAAGGTGCGAGAGAAACCCAGGGGCATGTTCTCCGCCCTTATTCTCTCCCCTCTTTTTCTCCTTTCCAAAGATGATAACCAAGGAGAAGAGATGGGGAGAGACAGGGGAAAGTGAAATTCTAAGATGCTGCTGGGAACTTTGATCCCTTCCCCTGCATCCCTTTCCGTGCACAGAAATGGAAGAGGCATCCCACTCACTTGGGTGCGGAGCCCTGCTCCCGGGGAAGCCCAGCTGCAGAGCCCGAGGAGGAGGCAGCAGCTGAGCCTGGCAGCTGAACGGCAATGTGATGCTTGAAGAAGCTTCTGCCCACTTTGCACAGGAGGGATGGAGATCCCCAAAGTACTGGGGCTCCTCATAGAGCTCTCCAGTCTGTTATCCTGTCTCAGATGTGTGGAGGTAAGAAACGGTTATTCTTCTATCTGCTTGTGCAAAGTCACATGGCTCTTTTAATGTCCTCACTGTAAGTGGATCTTGTTATTACTTGAATATGTTTTCCAAAGCATCTAGGCAGCTGTGGTCTCTGGGAAGAGCTGGGGGCTTGGGGAGGGATTTATTTCATTGTGCATATGAAATCCAGACAAGGAAACAAATCAGGGAAGCAGGATGCACAAGAGCTTGCAGATGCTTTGGCTCAGGTTTCTTGTGTTTCTCAGGCACTGCAGTGACCCTGGCAGGAAAGATCCATTGTTTCTGCTCTTTGATGATGGACTGATTACCCCTGTTGCTGTTAGGAAGAGATGATTTATAGCCACATGGATGTGGGGCAGTGACTACAGCACATAGCGTCTGCACTAAGATTTGGTCAGTCTTAGCTGAGATGGTCAGTGCTGGGGTGTTTTGGAAGCTGCTACGTGAACTGGCAGCAACTAATCTTTCATTAGAAGGGAAGCATATTACATGGACTGCAATTCTTTTATTTATGGTCCATCTCCAAGAGCAGGTTCAGGCTTTCATGTACGGCCTGTTATTAGTCCAACCCATCCCTCTGTTGCCTGCGGGCTTACATGTGTGTGCAGCTGCACATTAAATGCTAGGAGTCAGGGGACCTGGAGTGTGGCTCAGTCAGCTGTTTGGTGCTGTCACAAAAGTGTGGCTTAGCTCACTTTCCTCTCTTTGCAAATATCTGAGAGATCCTCAGATAAGTCCTTTGGCATTGATACTTCACAGACCATTATGTGGGATTTCAACAGCCTGATACATGCAGATGGATTTTTGGCTGAAAAGCATTTGTCAGTTAAATGCTGTTTTATCCATGCATCCCTTGTGTATGTGCAGCTGAGATCTGATCTGCTGTTTCTGAGCCATGTCAGGATTTCATGTTCGATATGTAGTGTCACATTCTGACTTCTAGAGGGTGATGGTGGAGCTTGGCCATGGTTGCCAACACTTGATGTACCATACTCACAAGCTTGTTTTAAAAGGAAAGATGTCTGCTTGAGGAGGTGTCATTCTTGTCAGGTATCTATGGGAACTATCTCTACTTATTCTAGAGGGGGGGTTGATTTAATTCCAGATTTTACACTTCCCCTTTTCCAGGGAAAGGTGGAGCTGAGAGAAGCAAAATTACTGCATTTGAAGAAAACCAGAACCATTTCCAATAGCTGGTAGTCTTTATATGCATAACTCTGCTCCGTGAATAACAAGGCCTTGTTCATATAGGAATATAAGAAACATTCATTTAGAAGTATTTAGAAATTAATTAAACTCCAAGGAGTTAATAGAAGCATGTACAGTTTCTTCTCTTCACTCTGCTCTGTGAAGATCTTGCACCTGCCTGCACATCATGTAATGGTACTGAGTGGAGATCCCTATCTTTCAGCCCGCAATCAAGTTATAACCACCAAAAACACTGCCTATAAGAGGAAATACAGTTTGGGGGCTGAGCAGGATGCTGGAATTCTGAAGACTCTGTTTCGTATTTTTTGTTCTTAGTAATTTAACCCCATTGGGATAATAGTACCATAGGCCATACCATATTCTCATGTATTAAAACCAAAATCCCCCAAAAGCATTGTTGTATTTCTTCTTTAGGCGTTTCCCCATTTTGTACACTTATTACTATTTTAACAGGGATCCTTGGGGGCACCATCCCATCACATAGATACATCTCTGTTTGCTGCTGTTGCCATAGATGGCTTGCCCTAGAAATGGGGAGAGAATGAGTGGTTATTCATTATTTTCCTTACTGGTAACAGTGATTTTCTTCTAGCTTTTCTTTCCATAGGCATCTCACTCAGACTTCCCAATTCTATTGGAAAAGAACAAAGCAAGCCCTGCAATGTGGTCAAGGGTAAATCTCTGCAGGCTAGTAATTATTCATTTTGCTGTTAGTGGGCAGAGCTGTGATTGGATTTGAAGAGGAGCAATGGGGAGAGCAGGGAAGAGGCTGGTTACTAGGGCATGTTTGCCTAAAGCAGCAAAATGCTGAGCTGCTTTTAGGACATGCCCATGTTTATTTCATCGGATAATCATCTTTCTCTTTTTGCTCTGTTTCTTTTCCCAGGCTTTCCTGGGATCCCAGCCCAACCAAAACCATTTGCAGAGTACAGGTAAGAACAAGAAGTTATTAATTCAGTCATCAGACAGTTTCTTTCCTGCAGTAGTGATCTGAGACCATAGGTACGATGAACTGCTACCTGGCATTCTTCCTTTCTTTCCATTAGTACTTCAATCTTTCCTCCTGCCTAAATGCTTGTTTATCTCCTTCTCCAAAATGGCCAGACCACTTTGTTTCCTTCATGTCTACTAGTCTTGCAGCTCCCCACTCCTCCCACATGTTCTTTTCCTTTAATTTCTTTCTTTGCCTTCGTCTTTCTTGCATGCTCACCTTTCCTCCGCTTTAATAACTACTGAATTCTCAGACACTCCCTCTGAGAGTGCCAGGTGTGATGCAAAGGGCACAGTGTGTTTTCCAGACGCTTACCTGTAACTGCTTCTCATTTTTGCCCCCTGCAATTCACCTTCAGCTGTCAATCACCCCCTCTGGGCTTGGCAGCAGCTACAAGGCAAATGGTGAAGCTTCTTTGTACCCTTAATGTTTGCCCTATGTGTCTTTATGGCAGAAAGGTTTTCTGAAAGTGCTGGCCGCTTTTTGTTTATCCAATGCAGTCAATAGAGCTGTAACCGCTATCCCTTTCTGCATCTGCTCTTCCATGTTATGGACTCTATAAAGCCCACCCTCACACAGAAGCCGGTTCTGGTTTCCCTCTTTCTTATTTCAGGGTCATGAATGGAGAGTTTTCTTCTTTTGTTAAAGGGACCACGACAGGCAATAATAAATTAGTTGTTGGGGTTTCTTTCCATGAGATATTTCACATGGGCACTGGCATGGAACACTGGCACCCCCAAATAGGTTCCCTTTCCCTACTTATATATCATCCAAGTTCAGATAAGCCAGGGTATATGCTAATGTATGTAGGGAACATACAACTACAATACCATTTCCCACCTTCCTGCTTTGTAGAATGAAATTTTAAGCTCTCCTCAGTTTCAATCAATTTAGATAGGCAACTAATCTTCTAAAGAGCCTAGGATCACATTTAAGAGCATCTTAATCAGGTGCCAAAGCAGGTGGGGAAGGAAGTGGAGGAGTGTGTGCCAAGCTCACGTACTGCTCCAGGGCAAGTGAAGACATGTATTGAAATAAATGGTAAGGGAAACTGGTTCAAATTGTCCATGTTTGGGCCCAGAGTTGACATTTCAAAGGTCTGTCTGGGCAGTTCATGACTTTCAGATCAACTTGTGCTTTAGACAGTGCATATTATAAACATTCTTTGAGCAGCTGCCTTGAAGAATGATAGACTTGAAATCAAGCAAGTAGCAGTCAGGACTGCAGACATGGGAGGTGTTTCAGGAGATCAGCTATTACCTCCCACATTGTCTGAGCCTTGGTGCCTGACACCTTAAGTGATGCTAACAGCTCCTTTCCTTTGCCCAGCATCCAGCGTGTGTGGTGTTGGACCTCTTGGGTATTACAATGGTTCACTGGCGGTCACTGAGGCTGGGGCAGAGTGCCTCAACTGGGCAGACTTCCCCGATTATGTTCAGCAGTACCCAGACCGCGGCTTGGGGGACCACAACCACTGCAGGAACCCGGACGGGGGAACTACACCCTGGTGCTTCTACCGGCTTGCATCAGGGGCCATCAGCTGGGCTAACTGTGACTGTAACCAAGGTAAGGGCTGCTGCGTGTCTCTGCCAGTGCCTGCCTGCACTGCCCTGGGGGCTCAGGGCAGAAATGTGTGCTGCACAGACTTGCAAGTAGCAGGTGGGACACCCTGTGAAAGGCGCACAGTACAGTAACTGTCCCAAATTGTCGAAATAATCAGGACTAGAGGCTAGCCTGTGTGGGAGAAGAACGTCTGTATATAGTAGGGGGTGGATTTAAGCTGCTGTAGCCATAATGCCATGTATAGATGCTTTTATTCCCATACAAGGAGCCCTTTTTTTTTTTACTGTTAACTCATGCCACTTTGAGACAGTTTAAGTTATGTGGAAAACAGCCCACTCCGGCTTCTTGAGTGCCTGTAGCAGAGCTCTCCTCATGTAAGTGTAGCTGTTCAAATACAATAAGCAAAAATCTTCTGTGGCAAGGTAAGGTTACAGGCTTGCTTTGGAATTCTTCACAGCGCTGACACAAGGATTGCAGCTTGCCTGGAGGCATGCAAAGGAGCTGAGCTCTCTCAGTGCACAGATTTCAGTGCAACGTTCTTGAAAAGATTTTGTTTGTCCTCGTGCTTTCTGACCTTCTTTGCTTTATGTTTCAGAGGACAGATGAAGTACAATTTAATAGGTGAAATGAATGTCTTTTTTCCCTTGCCAGTGAAAGTGCTTTCAGAGATGGCTTCATTAAAGTGAGGGGTACAAGTGTAGTTGTGCTGTGTGCCTGCATGAGCTACTACAGACAAGGTGTATCCTTCTAACAATACATAACTGAGCAAGGAAATGTGCTTTCTAAACTGTGGTGGATATTTGTGGTGCAGTGAGAATTGAAAGGGTATTTACTTTGTAACTTGCTTTTCTTAGAGAATTTAAAGAGGATTCACCTGCTGTTACTGAGCATCTAGCTGTAGCAACAGTGACTGTCATAGGTGGTTGATGGTAAATAAATCAGTGGAGTGTCAAAAGGAATTAGACAGCCTAGCATTTCCATACACCTTTTCAAGGTAGCATGTAAAATCATCCCCATTTCACAGAAGGAGAATCCAGGAGCTGTGGCAAAAGCCAAGTTTCCTGCAATGTTATCATGGCTTTGAAAAGAACATAGCACCAGCTATCCTGCCGAGCAGCGATTGCAGGACCCAGGAAGGTGCCTTCAAAACAGCAAAACAGGGATGAGAGAAGCTAAGTGCAGTTCAGCTCAGCTACGTGCAAGTCCAAAACTTGCTGGTCTGAAACCTCCATCACAAGATAGCAGCTTTTACTTTATTTCCTCCCCTCTTTTGGAAGGTGCTGTGCGATTGGCTGAAGATAGTAGTGTGGAGCTGTACTTCAATGGACTCTGGGGCACCATCTGTGCTGACTACTGGACTGACTGGGATGCCAGTGTTGTCTGCAGGCAACTAGGTCTCAGGTGGGAACCTCAGTCTGGTTGCGAGAGTTACTGCTCATGTAGCCTTTGAAAGATCAGGCTCTGTGGTTACAGTCTCCCTGGCATAGTGTGTTGGCTGGGGGAGAGGAGTTGGTTTTGTGGACTCATTTCCCATTTACCAGGGTCCTTTCATACTGTTGTTTGTTTTTTTTTTCTGCGGCTATGCTAAACCCAAACAGCGTTTGCAAGATTTCTTTAAAGCAGTAGTGTCTGCTTGGTGCTCCAGACTGCGATGAGTGAGGTGTGAGATCGTACCCTCTTTTTAGTATTACCAGCTGGACTTACTGTAGTGATCTAATAGAAGTTTTGAGAGTGTGAACTGTCTTTGGGAAACTGGGATTTGGACCTTCAGACTTCCAAATAGTGAGGAGGTAAGGTCTACAGAGAAGGAAGACGTTAATTCAGATATTTGGATGTTTGAATCTGTTGATGGGTTTGTTCATCACTCTCGAGCGAGGGGGCCATTTCTGATCAAACCAGCTCTTCTGCCTTAAGTAGGAACACAGGATGGGTTAGGTGGAGGGAAGTGCTTTGTGCTTGTTTGTGCTTTCCCATTAAACTGTAAATGCCACCCCTTTATGCATCCCGATCAACTGGGCTCAGTGGGATGTGAAATGGCACAACTGGACTGCAGAGTCACAGGAACTGAGGGGAACTGGTGAGTCGAGCAGCGCTATGGCATTTCATCCCTCTGTTGTGTTCTTTGTACCAGTGAGATCGGCTCAGCTGGGAAGAAGAGTCACCCTGGACTGTGGCCTGTTCCCCTGCACCTGCAGTCAGCAAACTGCCATGGGGATGAGAAAGCCCTGCTGGAGTGTGGCTACCGGGAAGCTGTGTCAGGAGTTTGTAAGCAGGGGAGTGCCATGGCAACCTGTGTCCCTCCAGAAGGTAAATCTCCAGGGAAGGTTCACTCCCTGTTTCTTGCGTCCAGTGTTGCTGATAAAATGTGAAATGTAAGGTTGTGAAGCTATGGTGAGCAAATCATTGGAGCATGTTCTTCTTTCACCTGCTGTACAGGTGGTTATCTTCCTTCCAGGGGAAACTTATCCATCCTTTCCCAATCCCAAACACTCAGAGTGGGCATACTTCTACAGCCACTGAAAGATGGCTGCTGCTTATGCCCACATCCCATTTTCATCAAACCAGGATTTTGTCTGCAGGCAGCAAAGTCTTAGTCACTGTAGCAGCCAGTTAAAGAGCCGTCCCCAATGCAGCCCCTTACTGTGGGCTGCAACCACTGATGCGTCTGTGGGATCTAGAGAGGAGGGTGGGACTTGAGCATCCCAGGAGCTCCTCTGGCTGATGAATGGTTCTGCCCCCTGAACTGCTGGATATGCTTTGTCTCTGTCTTGCTCTGTTGTGCTCTGTTTCCCCTTCTTGAAGCGCAGGTGTAGATGCCCCGCTGCGTTTAGTTGGGGGAAAGGAGAGCTTTGAAGGACGAGTGGAGGTTTACCATGATGGCAAGTGGGGTACCATCTGTGATGACCAGTGGGATGACCGGGATGCTGAAGTAGTCTGTAGGCAGCTGGGACTCAGGTAATTTCCCTGCTGTATATCATGGAGTGGTCCTAGAAGTAAACAGAACAAGGAACGTGACAGCATCTCCCTTCACTGTAGTACCAGTCCTTCCTATAGCAGGTATACAGAAACCCTGGGAAAGATAATTCTGGGCTGATCACTCTGTGTAATGGCACTTCATTCTCCTGTGTGCAATTCAGTGCCTAACATAAGAGTTGTATGCTGGGCGTTCCTGAAAATCACCTCAGTACAGAATTGTTTAAAATAGACAATCCAAGTTTGAGATCCCTCAAAGTTTGGGAGTTTTGCCTGTTACTGAGATTGAAAACTGGTTGTCCTCAGAGCTCCCCAGGTGTCTGAACTGTTCATGTTGCAGCCACATTTTTGCTATGTGCTTGGAGGTCTCATTACAAAACTTTCCAGTAGTGTATTTCAGTTAACAGCTGGAAACGCCACTGTGCCAGAAAAACAAATTAGCTATGAGAGGACACTGACCTAGTGTAGCAAGAGTCCCTGTGCAAGGCAGAATGTGAGTGCATGAGGCTGTGACCTTCCTTACTGAGCATATGTGTCTGTAATGTTTGCAGTGGGAACCCAAAAGCCTTGTCGTGGGCTCACTACGGGCAGGGATCTGGCCCAATCCTGCTGGATGAAGTGGAATGCTCAGGCAATGAACTCTCACTTGACCAGTGCAAGAAGAGTGACTGGGGACAGCAAAACTGTGACCACATTGAAGACGCTGGGGTCTCCTGTGACCCTTTCACAGGTACAGATCTACAGCTCTATACCAGTCAGATGCGGCCAATCTTACTCCCGTATTACATGGCTTGCTTAGCAGATAATCCCCCTGCCTCAGGATCTTGCAGGGATTCTACGTATAGCTGCCACCTGTGACAGCAGAGAGCAAACAGCAGGTGGGAATGGGTCAGAGACAGGCTTGGTGGTGTTCCCATGGCTTTCTTTCCACCAAGGTGGTATGGAAAGGCTGAGGTGAATCCTCACTGACAAGCAGGCATGTTGGGGAGCAATGAATGTTTGCTTTTTGCATACCCACGGGTATCTGTGTCTCGGGTTTATTTCATTCATGGGCTGTAAAGAGACCTCAGTAGTGGGGCACAGGCTGCTGCTTTTCTCCCCTGCTGAGCACTGACCTTTCCTTCTCCCATCCCTTGCAGAGGGCACCATCAGGCTGGCTGGTGGCCGCAGCCCCAGTGAAGGCAGGGTAGAAGTTTATTACAATGGAGACTGGGGCACAGTGTGCGACGATGGCTGGACAGACCTCGGTGCCCAGGTAGTCTGCAGGCAGCTGGGCTTCAGGTAGGACTGAGAGTGTGTGTAGTGTCTGTGCTTCCTCATTTCAAGGATTAGATTCCATCACCCTTCACTGGGATAGGCTGGACCTTAATCCTTCAATGCTGTCTTTGTTAGGAGGTTTATTACCCATTATGCAGCTTTATTCAAGAAAAATTAATAGGTATCCACATCCTTTCCAAGGGGAAAAAAATCACCAAACTGTATTATCTCCTGCCTCAGCCTGTTTGGAAGCAGATAACAGGCTCAATATTGTCTTTCTAAACCCCTCACCAAAGTCAGAAAGTTCTCCCAACACTTCTTAAATTTGCAGGTGTATCAGCTCAGCATTGCCACCTCTGCTCTGTCACTAAACAGTATCACCCACCTGTTCTGTCAGCTGAACACATCACCTGCTTTGGCACCTGAACGTATCAGGGCAAAAAAAGAGTAGTATTAGGGATTTTCATAATGCTTTTCTTTCAGTCCATTGCTGAATGTCACTCCTCCAGGTATGAGCTTGAAGAAGATTTAAGATCAGGATACTGTAGTCTTGGAGCCACTAGAGGTGTTTTGTGGATTTTTTTAAGTATGATTATAAAAGTCCAGCTTTATAGACTGAAAAAAAGACTCAACTAAATTCTGCCTTTTCAGTTCAGCTGCATACTGTGTCATCTCCCACAGTGCCTAAAATTGCAATTCCAGGTAGCTGCTTCCTATAAAAAGAAGGGGAACTACTTAAATGTTGATATTTCTGATGCCTCCTCTGCTAGCCCCTCTCCAAACTGACAGACCTGGTGTCACATTTGCAAGGCAGCCTCTGTGGTATAGCTGGCCCGTTGTGCTACTGTGCCTTTGACCAGTCACTAGAAAATGGACTGGTCTGAGCAGGCCTTCCTGAAAGCTGAAGCTGGTGAGATATGCAAGCTCCTTGTTTGCCATTCTCTGCGTCACTGAGTGGTTTAGGTCAGGAAGACACTGATATCACAGCTGAGCTCTGCAGGGGAATTTCCCTTTTTGTCTAAGCTTGTGTCTAATTCCCTCTGTGAGATTAATGAGTTTTCATGAATCTGATGTCATGTTTCCTTCCTCTAGTGGTCCTGCTACCCTTGCCTCTGAAGGGGACTATGCTGCTGGCCAAGGCTTTATCTTACTGGATGATGTGGCTTGTGTGGGGACAGAGCTGTCCCTCCTGGACTGTCCCCACAGCAACTGGGGGCAGCATGACTGCTCACACGCTGAGGATGTGGGAGTCCGCTGTTCCCTGGAGAGCAACACAGTCATGGATGACAGCCTGGGTAACTCACCTTGCTTCTTGCCCTGGGCGGTGGGGAAGTGTCACCTGGTGGCCTGTTCCTTGGGAAGGTCTGGCAGATGTGGGAGATGGGGGGGCTGCTTTTTGAGGAGGACTCTTAGGAACGCACCCTGGCTGTTTTGGGGCAGAGCTGTGGCTCCACCAGACCTATTGCCAGCCCAGCAGAGAAACTGAAACTGGAGAGAATTGGCAGTCTCCAAAACAAACCTGAGGGGTTGAGAGATGGTGGCAGCCTTAGTGTGCCATTGCTTACTGATGAGATTCCTCAGCCCCATGCCTGTGGGAACATGGGACCCCTTTAACTAGCCCTGGTGTAGGTGACTGGTGTAGTTAGTGTTGCACCTTGCCAAGACAAGAAGACTTCAGATGTGAGGGGCTGTTGTGTGGAAATTTGTGCTCTCTTGTGTGGATGTCACACTTTAGTTAAAATTGTGAATATATTTTGATTAGCATAATTTCCTCATTTGTATGTGGCCTGATACTCTCCCCCTTCCCTAATACAGGAGACTTTTGAGTTTGTCAGACATTTTCACTGAAATAGATGGTATCCAACATTTTTGTTTCTCCTGAACGGAGAACTCTTCTCTTGCTTAGGGTAATGTAATAGTTTTATAATTTAATGTATTTATTTCCTGGGCATGTTTAAGCTTGCCCACTCTTGGCTCAGGATTAAATAACTTTCCTTCTGTTCTTGTTCTCCTCTTTACTCAGCTTTCAGAATATGATCCACTAATGATTTCCAGTATGTATTAAATTAACATGTACGCAGTCTTCTGATTCAGTGCAGAGCTGAAATGTCTTCATATAGAAACACTCCTTTCTTTTTCTTTTTTTTTTTTTCTCTTTTCCTGTTTTTTGATGTTTTTTTTTTAAGCTCACTGGTACCTGGGATTCATCCTTTCCTATAGAACCCAAGTTCTGGGCACCTCACACTCTCACACTGGGTTTTGCTTGCAGTCACCCACGTGTATTCTTCTGCAGGACCTCCTGTGCGGCTCATGGATGGAGAAAGCACCAAGGAGGGACGAGTTGAGGTATTCCTGAATGGGCAGTGGGGCAGTGTCTGTGATGATGGCTGGACAGACAGCGATGCTGCAGTGGTTTGCAGGCAGCTGGGATTCAGGTGAGAGCCCTGGTACATGCATCATACAGATAGAAACAACTCTCAGGGGGATCACTTCTCTCTGAACCAGTTTCTGGGGGCTTCCTTTCTTAGTTTTGGCATACCCATATATTCCCATATTGAGGGAGTAGGGTCATATTCTTACTGAATTACTGTCTGTGTGTAGTGACACATAAATATTATTTCTCTTAAAATGTGCTGGTGCATCAGGTTCACCTGCCTACTGCAGATTAGCCACCCTCTCTCTAATTGCAGTGGTACAGCAAAAGCCAGGGCAATGGCTTATTTTGGTGAAGGCCATGGACCCATCCATCTGGACAACATAGAATGCAGAGGCACAGAGAACACCCTGGGGCAATGTGTGAGGCCTGACACAGGGATTCACAGCTGCTGGCACAGTGAAGATGCTGGTGTGATCTGTGACTATGTGGAAGAGAAGGTGCAAGGTATCAGGAGAACAGGTGACATGCCCATTTCTTCTGTGCAGAAATCTGCAGCTCCAGCTGTGGGATCTATGCATGCTTTTATGCTTTTTACCTTTTATGCTTTTTACCTTTTACCCTTGGCTGACAATTAAGCATGTCCTGTCCTGCACCTCCTACTTTATCCTTGGTTTTGTTGTCTCTTCTTAGGAGCATAGGGTGCTCCAGACTAGTTGGAGGAGCACCACCTATGTCAGGCCTTTGAGCCTGCTGAAATGCCCCACAGCCAAGTCACCATACCCTTCCTTAGAGCATTAACCATGAGCAAACTTTGGGGTTTATGGTACCGAGGAAATAGCTGTAGAGGTCCAGTTCCTTGCATAAGACTACAGGTGCTGCTGGTAAGCACCTCCACCAAAACTGAGGAAACCTATGGGATCAAATCTACTATGAATTCCATATGCACAGCACAATAGAATCAACTACAATGAGGATTAAGTCTCTTGGGGAAGGTGAATGGTGTTTGGCTCTGTGACAGCAATTGTTCATGCTTAAGCTGAAAGTACCTACCCAACCGCTCTAACTTTGCTGTGCAGGTCCAGAGTCTGGTGTGTGCGGGATGCGCCTGCTTCACCGTCGCAAGAAAAGGATCATAGGTGGAAAGAAGTCCCTCAGGTACTACTTGTAATTGCTAGGAAAGCCAGAACTCGTTCCAGCTTCCCTACAGGCTCTGGAAATAGCCTTGTAAATGCTAAATACATCAACACGTTTTCACTGGTCATTTTTGAACTTAATTTGAACCAGTGGGTCTATCTAGGGAAGAATTCACACCAGCTGAGCCCAGATGGGGCAGAGTGGATGGGAAAAGAGGAAACCAGCTCCCATGTGTGTGACACCTGCTATTCCTCTGTTTCTTGTTCAGAGGCAGTTGGCCATGGCAGGCCTCACTGCGGTTGAAGGGTTTTCATCGAGATACTCGTCTGCTGTGCGGAGCAACCCTGATCAGCAGCTGCTGGGTAGTGACTGCAGCCCACTGCTTCAAAAGGTGTGTTTGTGGGTGGGGAGCCCCAAGGGATACTCGGTGATGAGCAAGATAACCTTGTACAAGGTTATCCTTCTAGCCCATGAGCAAAGTTCTTAAACCAAGACCTTTGAGTTATGATGTGTGGAATCTTGAAGCATTTATGGGGATGACTCAAGATAGGCTCCCTTTTAACTTTGAGGCTTCACGACTTAAAGCGAACCAGCACTTTGCCATTCTTTGGTGCTTTAAGGAACTGTGAACAAATGAGGTCACAAGCCTGTTGCAAGTATTGTAGCCCTTTTTATAGGAAAAAAATTCCTATGCATGGTAGAGAGCGATTTGGGTCACCCATTGACTGCAACAGCTGGCATTATAACATCTACCAAAGATGTGCCACAGTGTCTTTTCAGGTTGTGAGGAGGTGGATCAGCCTCACAGCAACTGAGACTTGTGTGAGTCTGTTTCCTTCTCAGCAGGAGCATCAAGAACTCGCGTCTCTGTTTCTCCAGGTTTGGTGTTGATGTGCGGCGCTACCTGCTGCGGGTGGGTGATTACCACACGGGTGTGAAGGATGAGTTTGAGAGGGAGCTGCCCGTGGAGCGGATTGTCCTCCACAGGAACTACTGGGCTGGCAGCAATGATAACGACATTGCCTTGGTCCGAATGCGGGGCAGAGAGGGGCACTGTCTCTCCTTCAATCACCACGTTCTGCCTGTCTGCCTGCCTGACAGGAAAGAGAAGTCTGACATCAACAGGCAAGCCTGCATCATCTCTGGTTGGGGAGACACAGGTGAGTGAGGCAGCTTTAACTGGCAAGAAAGGTGTCAGAGTCTGGGTTTAGAAGCCTACATGGGCCATTAATTTATGTCTGCACAACTCAAGGCCATGTTTTTACTGCTCCTATTTGTCTGTGCTAGTGCATGGTGTTAAGGAGTGGGGAGGTGATTTTTGTGCCATTGTGCTTTCTTCTGATTTTGAGGCTTCTTGAGCCTGCCCAAGGTGGAAGTTCAGGTTGCCATAGCATCCCTCTGAAACTGTGGGACAGAGTAATGCTGCCATCTGGCCACAGTCCTCTTTTTCTTCCCCTTTTTACATACATTTTGGCCTACAGCAGACCCCTTAGACAGCAGCCTGTGCAGAGCCATACAAAGCCTATGGAGGCTGCCATGTTTCCATCACCTCCTGCCTTCTTCATGGTACTGTCATAGTGAAGTGGAGGCTTAAGAGGTGGAAGGGATCTCTGTTAGACTACCTTGCTCTATCTCCCTGGATATTGCTGCAGGGACAGCTGAGCTCTGAAGCTGGCTTTTGCACAAAGTTTGAGACAGCCTGAACCTGTCCTCTTGCAGCACATTGCTATGGAGTTTCCTAAGTAAAAGGGAGCAGGAAATCTTCTAGGAAGATTAAATTATTAAGTATTATTAAATACTTAAGTTTCTAAAGGTGGTGTTTCAAAATTCTGGGCTTGGTGGAGTCCTTAAATGGATACATTAGCAAGGTCTGCAGACAGCTTTAAACTCTAAACAAAACTTTATAACCAGCTGTCCAGTCTCCCCTCATTTGAGGATCAGAGATGCAATGCAGAGCTTGGAGCAAGGAGGCCTTTCTGGGGCTGCTGTGATGGGAGCAAAGCCATGTGTTAAGAAAGACATACTGCCAAGAGGCAAATAGCCCCTAGGAGCTTGTCTGTTGACTTTGGACCTACCCATCCTTCCCAGCTGTTTCCCTAGCTGTTACCCCAAGTGTTCAACTGCAAGTATACATGTGCCTTTAGAGTCAGTTGCACAAAGTGCACACATCACTTTGGCCTGTCAGTGGAGGATCAAGGAACATTTCAGCCTTACAACTCCCTTAATCTGCACTGGAGCTTAATGGCCAGAATCCCTTGCACACACCAAACCTGCTATCCCAATGAGAGGGGCAGTTACCCACTACCTTGTGAGCTTACCTTAAAGCTTGGATGCAGAAAGGTCTTACACTAATATAGCATGTGAACCATATGTTCTGAGCAAGTCTTACTCTCAAGTAAGAGATTTAAGCAAATAGGGACAAATTTGGCCAAAGATGAAGTGAACTCCCTTTGAATAATATTTAGATGCTTCTGAAACATCTTCCAAAGCTTCTCTGAGGATTGAGCACTTAGCAAATATTACTGCATTTATTCTCTTGAGGAAACACTGCCCTTGTTTTACAGAGGAGGAAATGGAGGCTCAAAGAAGTGAAATAAATTGAACAAGGTTCAAGTTACTTGTTGTCATAACTAGGAGTAAGACTCATCCTTTGATCTAACCTTTTTCTCCAACGTCTTCCCCATTTCTTTGATCTTACAGCTCTTTCTTGTGGTTTGGCTTGGCAGCACTGTTTTGTGACTTTATGGTTGTTCAGAGATGCTGAGCTTCGCCTATTCCTGTGCCATAGCCTTGACATGAAATGTACAAGTACCTTTTTTTGTGTGGAGCACCCTTGCTCTAGGTCGCTGCTGTTGTCTGAATGTGAATTGGTCTGGACAGTCTTCTGTTCTGTTCCAGGGAAGTCCTATTCAAGAACCCTGCTGCAGGGGGTGGTGCCTCTTCTCCCACGGGAAGACTGTGAGGCCCGCTATGGGCACAAGTTCACGAACCGCATGATTTGTGCTGGGAACCTCTCTGAAGACAAGCGGGTGGACAGCTGCCAAGGCGACAGCGGAGGGCCACTCATGTGCCAGAGGCCAAACGGGCGCTGGGTCATTGTGGGGATCACCTCCTGGGGTTATGGCTGTGGTCGGAAAGATTCCCCCGGTGTGTACACGAAGGTCAGCAAATACGTACCCTGGATCAAGAGAGTGACCAAGCTAAAATGACAATGTCTGAGCTCTAGGAACTTCAACATATGGCCCTATTGCCCTACAGCAGTGGAAGGCTGTGGCTCCTGGCCTGTGGCTGGTGGAGACTGGACACTGGGAAAAGACTTTCATGTAGAACTGGGAGAAAAACAGTTACAGCTGATTCTGCAAAGTCTTTGGTTTCACTTTAGTCTGTGATGTCTGAGCAGAGAAAGCAAGTGCTCACTGGTAAGAATGATAAGTCTATGTTGCTCTGACTACCTGAGTCCTGTAACGCAATCACGCTTGTTGCCCTGCACACAGAAATGTGTAAGTGGAGAGATACCTGCCTCTGTAAATCTGTTCCGGGGTTTGTATGTTTGCACAGTTGAAAAATGCTGCAAGCAGACATGAGATGCTTGGAAGATGGCACCAGGCTCCGGCACAGCTGAAATCTTCAGATTTTCTTTTTGTAACAGCTCTCCAATTCTGAGAATCAGAGATTTAAGCTGAGCTGAGGAACAGGACAACAGCTGGGTCTTTTCCTTCTCTGTTATGTCTCAAGGGTGAATCTTTTCTTTTCTGAATAGTAGATCTGCTCCCATATGATCCCTTTAAAGTATCTTTCCCTGCTAAAAGATGCTTGTCCCTCCTTCTGTAATCCTCTATCACATGTTTCCAGCTGCCAGATGCTATGGTTTTATTGCTACTTTCTCAATATAGTGGTTTCTTTTGTGTTCATTAGGTTTAGTTGTTTTTTGGTTTGTTTTGTGTTTTTTTTTTTTTTTCTTAAAGCAGCATCTCCTAGAATCAGTTTTTCATGTAAGAGTAAATCTTAATTTTTTTAGGAGACAGTAGCTTTCTTGCCCTTGTGTTTACTACAAAGAACTTAAAACTGTGACCTCAAAAGTCTGAACAGACATGTTCTTTTACTTTAAATCCAAATGTAATGTTTATCTCAAACATTCAGGTGTTGAATCACTGTTTAACAGCACTGCGGCAGCTTTCTCTTGATACTTTATTCATCTTAGCTGCCCTTTATTTGTGATGTTAGTCTTTAATAGCTCTGTGCTCACAGTTCTCCCATGAAATACAGAAATACTCCTGTGGTACAGATGCACCTCAAGCAAGTTACTCACTCCTGCAAAGCAGCTTCCCGCTTTCCCAACGTGTGTCTTATTCTTGCAACCTCTGGGCTATGCTTCTATGCTTCTTCTCTTCTCTCTTCTCTTCTCTTCTCTTCTCTTCTCTTCTCTTCTCTTCTCTTCTCTTCTCTTCTCTTCTCTTCTCTTCTCTTCTCTCTCTTCTCTTCTCTTCTCTTCTCTTCTCTTCTCTTCTCTTCTCTTCTCTTCTCTTCTCTTCTCTTCTCTTCTCTTCTCTTCTCTTCTCTGTACTGTTTCCTTTTTCATTCCCCTCAGCGGGGGTAAAGCAGCTTAACTGGAGGCTATGTGAATACTGCCATCAAGCTGTAGTTCCCAGCCTGGGCAGAAATAATCCTGAGAGAAAGCAGGTGTTCTTGAATACTTCAATTTCTTCCTTCCCTCCCATTCAAACAAATGAGCAGAGTTTCCTCTTAGGCCTTAAGCACTCTTGTAAGTTATTATTCTCGAGTGGGTAGAAAATACAAAACTAGGCAGAAGGGCTAAGTGCATTAAGAGTTGTGCAGTGCTCAGTGTCTTCTCTCTGTGTGTAGACTAGCCAGAGAGGAGACAGGTCTGCTCAGGAGCAAGGGCAGTAAGCTTTGATGTATAACCAAAGACTTGAACACAGAGTAGTAATACAGGATGGGACATGCAGAACTTGTCATGATGTGCATGTTTTGGGTTCACTCATGCACTGTAAGGTAGGTGATGACTGGGTCAGGCACTGGCCTGCTGCCTGGAAGGTCTGAGCTCAGAGGCACTGAGGTGCTTGGTACCTAGGCATTACCAAGGTAAGAACAGGAGGCAGAGAACAGCCTGTGGATTAACAAAGTCATGCTACAGGACACGTGGTGACAGAGTCCTAGAAATCGCTTTGGATTCAATAAGCAGTAATTGCCTAAAGCTTTAACTTGTCTTCTATAAGACAGCTTTATGTAAAGGTGCTGACCTGGCTAGGTGGCTAATTTTTGTGTATGAATGCTAAACAGTTCCATTTACTCTTTACAGGGATTATAGGATAACTGGGTTACCTGCTGCAATGGAATGTTTAAAGAGCCTTCTTGGAAACTTTCTTTTAAAAAAGAATTGTAGGAATCTCTAAAACACGCAATGCCAAAATTCCTGCAAACTGGCTTTGGCACAGATCAGATCTGTGTGTGCCGCTTCTCAAATGGCGGAGAGTCTGCAGGGCAGCTTGTGCTGATAACCCTAACTGAAGTGCCAGGCTTGATCCTTTGGCAGGGCTGTGCTTGGCTCCACACTGGCTGTGTTGTCCTACAGCTGCTGGCAAAGTCCCTAAGACACAAGCTGCAGACTGCTCCTTATCTCCCAAGAATTAATATTACAGGAGGACTGAGGGCAATTATGCCACAGACCTCTGGTCTTGCAGAGGATTAAATGCCAAGTTCAACACCAGCAGTAACAGTACTTGTCTGGGAAACATGGAGTGATTTAGCTCTTATCTTCAGGCTCCCCAGACCAGCATGCTACAGCATCTCAAATGGAGTTTCTGTGCCCTGGGTGCTGTCACATTTCTAGTTTACCCTGGTTTAATCTTTCAATTTATACCTATAACTCCAACAGGCACAGAAGCACCTGAAGGGTTGGAACTATGAGGTTATTTCCCTAAGCCTACTTAGCTGGTTGCCATTCAGGAATTAGAATAAATTACTGTGTAATCACAAGTGAGATGCAGGCTTGGCATTGTCTTCTGGAATTCCCGTGTTCTAGTTCAAAATGTTTCCTTCTCCGAGATCTTGTCACTGTGGAAGCTGTGAGAATACTTATAGCTAATATCCTTTGAGTCCTGCATGAGCCAGAAAGAGGGAAGGAAGTATCCAGTCTCTACATTTACACATTACTGGTACTGTAGGCAAGCCTGCCAATACTCTTGTCAATTGTCTCAACCTGTTTCAGAGCACTGCTATTTCTCTTTACTGTTTAAACTGGGACTGTGGCCCAAACCAAACTCACATACTTTGCCACCAAGGCTTATTGGAACTGCCTGCATAAGTGGCACCCAACCTAGGACTGTATTTTGTACCTAATGTTGGCCAGCAGCAGATGTTTAAGGGATTGTATGTGTCAGTTTGTACTGAACAAGTTTTAATAGCCTTTCCTTTTGGGGAAATTTGTTCTTGGCCCATTTAAATTAATTATTTGCATTACTATTATCACCATTAAAAACAGAAGTACAAGTACTTAGTCCTTCAGGTGTTACACAAACCCTATGCACTATCCTGTCATGATTATTTTTTTTCCTAAAGCATGAGAGTTTATATCCCTAACTTAAAAAAATATATTTAATGTAACCAGCCTTCATCTTCCATATAAATGTTTAATCTCCTATTTAATCCAACTAAGCTCTCAGCCTCAGTATTTTTCTGGCAATAAGAACCAATATAATTTTATTCTCCATAGCACATAATTTCTTTTTATGGTTCCTGAATTAATTGCCTTTTTTTTTTTTTCATTGAATCCCATCTGTCCTTGTGTTCTCAGCTACGAGAGGAAATAAGGGGCCGGGCTTTATATTCTCTGTTGTCCATCACTCTAGAGATAATCCCTTTTTAAACCGTGGCTTCTCTGTCTCTCTTCAAGCCAAACTGCTTAGGTATCTGATAACCTGATGACTGCCTCTTCATGTCTTCTCTTTCTGCTGTACCTTTTAAGCTTTGGTAACCAGAACTGAATGCAGTTTGCCAGGGGAGGCTGTGCCATCTGCTGATTATTTTCAGTGTCATTTTGTATACTAGGTAATGCTGTAAGTGATTTTAATGCTGTATGTGTACTATGTATGTATGCTGGAGCTAGCTCTAAAGTTGCTAGTGTGGTGTTGGTAGCAGCCTACCTACAACGCGATGAAAACCTGCTAAGGTTAATTCTCCCTGGGTCTTGGGCAGGTGCTGAGCTCAGAGCAGTTGCCGTGGGTGTGGCTGGGGAGAGTAATGCAGCTCTGGGCAGGAAGCACATGAACGTAGAGCTTTGCCTTGGCTGACATACCTGTAGGGGTGACACAGTCCTTCTATACAGCATTAGTTCATTGGATAAGGCTAATGCATATACACTATTTCCAGGAGCTGAGAGCTCAGGCACTACTGCTGGTGGTTGCACTGTGGCACATGGATGCTATGAGACAGCTTCCTACAGCACTGTGGCACATGCTAGTTATGTGAGAAAGGGAATGTCACTATGACTGGCTGGGAGCATTGGCAGGAGTAGAAACACGGCTACTAGTGCTATTAGTGCTCCAGGTATCCTTCTTTGAGGAACACCCAGCGCTGGTGCCTTCGGGACTTGCAGTGCCTGCACTGCTACCTTTAGCAGCCCTGTCTTGACTCCAGTCCAGGCTTTGGCCCTCTGAAGCTGGATTAAAGAGTTATCCCTTTTCTGTAACTGAACATTGTTCTGATGGTTTATACAATGTTTATATGATGGTTTATATGATGTTCTATGCTGTAATTAATCAGGCAGCTGCTTGTTAACTTGGGCAAAATGTCAATTACCCTTGTAATCCATGTACGCAGAGAATAACAGATCAGTTTCTCAAAGGTATTAGTGGAGGCATTGGTGAGGAACAGGGAAGGGTAGGAGAGGTGGGCCTGCCTTTTGTCTGTCTGCTTTTCTCTATGAATTCAATATCCTGGAGTTTTTTCACCCCCCAAAAAGCTGCAGTGACCCATCAACCACTTCAAGATAGATTTTTATGTGTATATTCAGCAATCAGATGAAAGCTTTTGAGAGATGAATTGTGCTGTGGTATTTAACACCATTTTGACAGATTCACTGGGAGTTTCTTGCAGCTGAAGGGAACAGAATGGCCTCTGGTGGTAACCAGCTTGGGACCACTTCTTGTGGAACGGGGCACTGTGACCCAGACAGACCAATGCACATCTCTCAGGCTGTGTATTTACTTGTCTAGAAAAGTATTTAATTTCCTGCATCAAGAAGAAAATCTCACTTGTGTAGCAGTCCACTAAGTTCTGTTAAAATCCCTTTCTTCTAACCAGGGGCTGAGTGCCCCTGACATCAGTCAAGTGCCAAAACTTTCACGTCCCCTGGATCAACACTAATGGCTCACAAGGTATGCTAATAAATGGATTATACTGTGACTGTGTGAGGCTCTGTCTTATTTTTAATCAAGGGCAGGTTTGGGGATATTTTTCCATCACTGAATTAAGCTAATTAAATTTATCTATTAATGTTATTTTTAGAGCAGATTTAACATGCTAAAGCATGTTACAAAGCCAGCATCATGTTAGCTACTGTTACAGTGAAATGCAACCATTCTTCAAATGCCATATTTTTTGCTATTTGGAACAGGTAAGAGGTACCTGCAGGTCAACTCCCTGCACTTAACAGGATTTAATACATCAGCTTTATAATTTGTTGTTGTCGGTGATCTTTCTATACTACCTGTGAACAGACTTGTTCAGAATGATTTAGTCTCCTTTCAGTCTAGGAGTCATGTGTCACCACTCTAAGAATCAAAGCCAGCCTTGGAAAAGTGGAAGTGGGAGGAAGGAAATGCAGTTTGAATGAGCCACTGAGGCAAGAACACTGTTTGACTATCCACTGCTGCTCCCTGCTGCTGAAATCTGCAGTGCTGTACAAAAAGTCCGTTTTGAAACACAGTCTAGTTCCTTGCAAGGTCGCTGCTGCTGCACTGACGTTCCCAAGTTATTAGGGTTACACTGATGTTTGGTGTAGCTGATACCTGCAGAGTGCAAGTATTATAGTGTATAACTTTTTGTATGTAGTGACTCCAGCCTGCTGTTTGTAACTGACATGCACTTGCTGAAGAAAGGCCTGCTTGTGGTTAACACCTCCCTTACTTCACGTCTGCCTTTAGGGTTTTCTACACCTACCTATGTTTCCCCTCTTGCTTGTACAAAGCTCAGAAGCAGACTGCAGGCACTTTAGACGGCCTTTCACGTGTCAGTGGGCACTGTTTCACCGAGTCAGTTCTGCAACGCTGTTCTGAAGTCACTGCCT